CCCAGGCCACTGAGTGTCCCCACATGGCTCAGGAGGCCATGTGTGTGTGTGTGTGGGGGTCTCATTCCTATCACAAGCCATGCTGCTGGGGGACATCAAGACAAGGTCCTCTTAGTCTCTGCCATAGGTTGAATTGTGTCCTCTCCTCCCCTCTCAGTGCGCGTATATAATGATGGAACATGTCAGTCATGGAATGATAGCCTTGATCTGATAAGCCAGACAGCTGTGAGAGGATTAAGAGGGGAGTGCAACACCTTCCTCAGACCACAGCCTTGACCTAGGGTCAGGGCCGACTGTGCCCTGCACAATGAGAAACAAGACCAAGAGACTCCAGCTGTGAGGCGGGGCCTCGGTCCAGCCAGGAAAGAAGACTCTTAAGCATGAAATCCTAAGAAACATCATCCAGACCCAGGATCCTGTGCTGGGAAGTTCCTCAACACAGGGAAAGGCCAGTTTGCATGGAGATGGCTAGTGAATGCTGGCCTCAGTGGTGTTGAAGGAAACAAGGGCCTTCTTCTGGAACCAACAGAAAGAGAAAGCCTTCCACAAGAACTAGCACCTTGAATGCAGACTTCAGCTTCTAAAACTACGAAAGAATGGATTTCTGTTTGTTGAAGTCACCCTCTTGTGGTATTTCTGTTACAGAAGCATTAGAGGTGTTGGGCTGCAGTCTGCCCTCTCCCTAGATATTGCTGCCACTCCTCCCTGTGGGTTCTGGGGAGCTCCTTCTGCACACCCCAGGATGACTTTCTGCATTCCCTCGAGGTGGCTTTGGGGCTCTGGACGGCAGGTAGGGGGTACCTGCTGGACCCCTACAGGCCAATTTTCCTTGCATCTTCCTTGTTCCTAAGCCCCAGACCTTGATTGCTTTCATTCATTCCCTCATCCATTCGCACATTCACTTATCCTTCTGTTATAATGTAGGGACCTTCCTCATGCAGACCCCACTTCAGGAGGGAGCAGAGATCTCTCATCTGTGGCTCTGCACTGGGGATAGATGAGAGTATTGAGAGGAAGATGGGAGGATGATACTTAATGCTGATGGAATGTTTAGGGGAGCCCAGCAGCTCTTGGTTTAGGGGCAAACAGAAAGTTACCCATGGCTGTCATCACATATGAGGCCAGAACAGAGGGACACCATCATGTCTAAACTTCACCAGTAAACAAAGTCACCTGGAGGCCTATGGTGTGTTTCTTTCAGGGACACAGGAAAAGCTACTGGAATTAGACAGGAAAACCTTGAGCAGAAGATGGAGCAGACACAAGGAGCAGGACTTGGGGGTCGGCCAGGGGAGGGAGTTAAATTTGAGCTTCAGGCTGACTGATTCCATGGACCAAAGGTTTGTCTTAAGATTAGAAGAACTGAGTGATATCCAGTTAATGTTGTTGTTGTTGTTGTTGTTGTTGTTAAGGGTCGTTGAGTCGTAGTCCGCTCATAGCGACCCTATGAACGAAAGACCTGAAAGCTTGTATAACTTTCGTCATTCCTCCAAGTTCATAGTTTCCAGAGGCAAGCTATTTCAGAATTGGATGCCACTCCTGCTTCCAAGTTTGTTTTAATCAGGGAGCTCCACCAAACACTGTCCACCATGAGTAACCATTATCACATTTGAAACAAAATATTTCTAAGAGAAATCTGATCAAAATGCAAAGCATGTGAAAGAGACTTTTAACATTCTAATGGAATTCAGACCTCTGGATTCCCAAAATACTCTTTAAATCTTTAATTACTCCTCTATCTCTTCTAAAAAGAAATTGATATTGTTGGCTGGTTACAGTTTCTTCAAGACATACTTTTCATTCTTTTGGCAGTCCATGGGATATTCAGTACTCTTCTCCAGCATCACAGCTCAAAGAAATAAATTCTTCTGCTGTCCTTATTTACTGTCCAACTTTCAGATGCATAGGAAGCAATTGAAAAGACTATGGATTGGATCAAGCACATTTTAGTCTTTGAACTGATATCCTTGCTTTTAGCACTCTGGAGAAGAGATTTACCCAATGCAAGATGTCTTTTTCTTTATCTCTCTTTCTTTCTCCCTCCTTCTTTCCTTTCTTTTTTACAGGACAGACTCTTTTGTTAAACTTTCACATAAAAAGAAAAAATAGCACACATTGTATTACTGACAAGTAACAGATTAATTGGGTATTGGTCCCATTATTTCAATAGCATTTTCCCCAAGCTTTCATTTTCTATATTGACGCCTTTGAGCGTTGGAGTGTTGGGGAAGAGTACTGAACATCCCATGGACAGCCAAGAGAATAAACAGCTATGTCTTGGAAAGGATGCAGCCAGAGTGCTCTTTGGAGGCAAGAATGATGAGGCTTTGCCTCACATACTTTGGACATGTTGCTAGGAGGGGCTTTTCCTTAGAGAAGGACATGATGCTGGGAAGGGTGGAAGGTCGGTGAAGGAGAAGAGCTGGTTGAGGAGCCAGGTGGATTGATGCAGTGACTGCTGCAGTGGGCGCCTGGGTGTCAGGAAGTGTGAGGATGGTACAGGATAGAACAGGGTTCAGATCTTTTGTTCATGGAGTTGCTATGAGTCATACTGACAATACCTCAATACAAGTTGATTTCTGATCATTGAAGATACTGCTTGAGTTTTCTGTTGCAAAACTTCTGCCAGAGTTTGTAAGATTTTCAGTTTGTTCTGGAGTTTTCTATAGGTATTCCCTGTTGTTTCTATCAGCTGAGAAGTGAAGATTTAACATTATCAGATGAATGAACAGGTTTGGTGGATCTGTACTGTGTTGTGGAATCTATCTATTGAATCCTCAACTGAACTAGTTAGGAGAAAGTGCACTGAAGATTTCTTAGGAGATAGAACAGATGAGCAGGTGACTTTTCCTCAGAGAACTAGCTGTAGATGGGAATATGAAGCAACTGGACTAGAGTCCTCCAGGTCTCCGTGTGGAAGGCAGCTGGATCTCTGCTAAGTTTCCCCTGATTTGCTGCCTTCAGTGGAGCCTGTATTGAGTTGTTGCTTCAGTAATGTCTCTGCTCTCAGGCTTGATTCAGTGACACAATCTCTTACGTTTTCATTTAGGCCCAGAAATAGCACTCTCTCATCCTTAGGTTTGTCCAGAGGGCCAGCGGGTTCATCACCAACACACTTCTCAACTCCTGGAGAGGCTGTTTCAGGTCTCTTCTCAGACCTTCCTCCATTGTATTAGACTGCAGAGTGGCGAGACAGGAAGCTTGCTTTGGACTGGGTCTTTTGATTTCTTGACTGCTGGTATCAAGGGTGTTGATTGCAGATCCAAGTAATATGAAATTCTTGACAACTTCAGTCTTTTCTCTACCTATCATGATGCTGTCTAGTGGGAAGTATTTTCATCTTTTTTATGTTGAGATGTAATCCATATTGAAGACTGCAGTCTTTGATCTGAAGCAAGTGCTTAAATGTATCTTTTTTTAAAAATATTAATGTCAATGAAAATTTACAGAGACTTTGGATTTCCATTCATTCATTGTTGCATTTTTCTCCCCTCCCAACCCTCCCCCCTAGTACACTACCCTCTTGGAAAAGTAAAATTCTTTCATTGTTTTACAATCCCTCCCCCCAGGTCCACTCCACTGTGCGGCCTTCGCTCTGGACTCCTGTCATGACAAAAATACCTAATCACATATCCCTTTTAAACAGTTTTCTCCCTCGTCTGATTCAATGCAGTATACATTATTGAACCCATCTTTCTCAGTCTCCCCTCAACCCCGGGGTCAGTCCTGTTTTATAACAGTGGCACCATGCAGTATTTGTCCTTTTGTGACTGAGATATTTCACTCAGCATAATGTCCTCCAGGGTCACCCATTTTTAATAATATTGCATGAGTTCCTTGTTTTTCAATGCAGCATAGTATTCCATTGTATGAATATACCACAGCTTCTCTATCCATTCCTTTGTTGATGGGCACTTAGGTTGTTTCCAACTCCTTGCTATTGTGAACAAAGCCGTGATAAACATGTGTGCATGCTTAAATGTATCTTAAGTAAAAGAATGCTTGCCTCTAAATAGAGCCTCATTGCAGTAGCACACCATCTCGCTCCCTACTTCCTTTCAAGGAAGGAGGTCCATGCCTTTGGGGATATAAATTTCTAATAAACTTATCTTTCCTATTTTACCCTAAAAAAAAGAACATCTGCCTCAAGTACTGAGAAATCCCTGCAGCCTCCAGTGAGCACACACACGTCCTGGCTCAGCCCCTGGCCAGGCAGGACTTCCAGGACTTGCTGTTCCCTGGTTCCCTCATAGTGACCCTCCTCCATGCACACACCATCATTTCCTTCCCTGTCCTTTGTCCCACCTCCATCACTAGTGCTTCTGAACACGTCTCAATAAATTTCTCCATCCTAGTCTGGTGTAAGGATGGTCAGGATAGGACAGAGTTTCCATTTGTCCTTTACAGGGTCACTACACATCATAGTCAACTTAACGGCTCCTAACAGCAACTCCAGTTTGACCCAGAACTGCTTTTTGGGGAACCATGGTTATACAGTCACTCCAATAATGGACGTGGCATGAGGATGGCATAGGGTAGGACAAGGATCAGATCTGTTGTTCATGGGCTCACTGTGAGTCTTTGTAGACTCGGCTGCCTCTAACACCAACAATATGGTCAGACATGAGCCCCTCGTATCTGTGGCTGTGGGACCCCAAAACCCTGAGGGCCTAGAATATTTCCTATACAACTCCTCAATCTTTCCAGCACCCAAGAGAGCCTGGTGAGGTCAATCTCCTACAAATCACCTTTCTGATCAAAGTGAAGTGTCAGCTGTCAGTATCTACATCCTGAAAATATCTATGAAGACAGAGACCTGGAGGAGACAGAGCTGGCTATGTGGACAGGGAGATGGCAGAGACCCCTCAAGTGGAACAAGCTCACATGTCAATTAGGAAAGCGGAAGAAGGAAGGACCGCTGCTCAACTTGGTACAACATGTCTTTATAAGCAGCCCTCCTCTGGGTAAGCTTGGCTGTGGCTTTCAGCTGGCTCCACGGCTCAGGCCAGCCCCCGGAGCAGGGGCACGAAGAGCAGGGCCAGAGACAGCAGGATCACAGTGGGGTCTGTCCCGGGTGGACTATGGCTTATGGTCTCCTGCATCCATTGGAAGTGCTCCCTGATGCTGGAATAGTAGCTGGGCCGACCTTGACGCCTGCAGCCCATGCTCCAGCTCACAACTCCGATCTGATACCATACGCTGTTCACTTTACAGACCAAGGGCCCGCCTGGATCACCCTGGAGAAAAACATGTGTGAGCTGGGAGGAGGCTACGTGGGGCGGGGGGAATGCAGGGAGAAGGGAGAGGCCAGACAGCAGGGGATAGGGCAGCTGAGCTACAGGCTATATTGGCCGAGCCTCAGTTCTGTATCTACAAATGGGCTTGTACCTCCTCCTGGAGCAGGTGAGGCATGCAATCCGTGGGGCACACACTGGATCAATAAGAGGTCAGAGGTAAGACTAGGGCCTGGGGGATGCTGGGGTCCAGAGGTCTTGGCGGAACCAGTGGAGTCGAGTGCACTCACAAGGCAGGAGGGGTTTCCAAAGACATGGTTGGGGAAGGCCGTCAAATTTCCCATGTGGCTGCATGTGGTGGTGTTGATGATGGTGATCTCTACCTCCTGCAGGTTGTAGGGTTGCTGCAGCTCTGTGAGGGGGATAGGGAACAACAAGAAGTCAGCTAAAACTCAGTACAGCATGCAGGTGGGGCCCCACAGGACCTGGGGCAGGGCTCTCATCACCTCAGGGATGTTCAGCAATACTACAGGACAAGCCAGGGCTGAAAGGCTGCTCCAGCTCTTCTTGAAACTTGGCTTCCTGATCTGTAAATATGAGGTTGGCCAGGAGTCCCTCTTTGTACATGGGGAGGACCACGAGCTGGGGGTGGAGGAGGTTGAGGTCCAGCCGCAGGGGTCAGGCCCATGAAAGGGTCCTCTGGCTGTTCCTGGCTCACACCCACTCACCCTTTGCAGTGGGAGCATGTTACATGGTTGTCTGCCACACTGCAGGGGACTGATCTACCATGGACCCTCCCTCCCTCCAACTCCAGTGAGTGAGGACGCCCAGGATATCTCTCCCTGTGGGCCAGCGGCTTGGCTTCTGTGTTTCCTAGTTCTTGTCCCCTTAGCCATTCCCATGCCCGCAGCTCTCCAGCTCTCAGGTTCATCTGGGACATAATCCTCTCACGTGTTTGGGGCCACACGCTCTGGCCAGAGTGGAAGCAGAGCAGCAGGTAAGGAAGCCAGAACCCAGGGTGCCCCACGACAACCATCGTCTAGTGCTGGGGCTGATGTCACTGGACAAGTGAATGAGAACAGTGCCCTCCCAGACACGCTTATGCCCAGTTTTACCCTTGCTCTCTACAATGTGCCCCCAGCCGGTCACCCAGCAGTCAGTCCAGGTCTGGGACTCTGAGGTGGATTTCCCCACACAGACAGGGTAGATGTTCTTCCCGAAGGTGACGGAGGAGGACAGCTTCACCAGGGCGATATCATAGGGGATGGCTCCTTTGTAATGAGGGCTCAGCACGACCTGCTCCACTTGATACCGGTTCTGATAGGCCTGCAGGTTCCAGATGGACGGCACCAAAGTCAGCTCACCAAACCGGATGCTCCATGGGAAGGGATCCCTGACCCTAGCAGGGAGGGGCACAGTCAGGGGTCTTGGAGGAGCAGCTGAGCTCGTGGGGTGTGTGTGTGTGTGTGTGTGTGTGTGTGTGTGTGTATGTGTGTGTGTGTGTCCCCTCGGGGCAAATGGACCTATGCCTGAGAGTACACCCTCAGCCAGGCCTGCTAAATCAAATTGCAGGATCAGGATTGCCAGTTTGAAAACAGGCTTTGATTCTACAGGAAGATGCTGTGGAGTTGAGAGAGTGACAGATTGTGTGTGTGTGCACATACACACACACACACACACACACACACACACGCGCGCAGAGTCTGCCATAATGAAGACAATGTGAAGCTGGCCTGTAGGGAGTGGTGAATAAGGCCCCTAAGGCCCTGCTTACCAGGCTAGCCGGGTCATCCTACACTTGTGGAATAAGTAAGGTAAGGGATGGGGTGGCATTGGTTTAAAATGAAAAAGGACAATACACAGAGATGAGCATGGGAATTCCTGTAAGAACATTCTGATGGATGTCAATAGCCTTTGATACAGAGGTACCAGTAAGAAAGGGGAGGGCGGGGCCGATAAGGGCAACATTCACACCTAGGGTTAGGAGGAACTGAAGCCTGTCCACATGCAATCTAGGGAGCCCAGAACGCGGCAGATGCCCCAGAGCCCGGGGTCCCCAACACCCCACTCACAGTTCAAAGCAGCGTGCAGCGGTCAGCGCCCAGCGGTGGTTGAGCAGACTCGCCCCGCAGACGTGGCTGCCCCACAGGCGCAGACTGCCCTGCCAGGGCCAGCTCCCCTCTTCTGCATCCAGGCTGCCCACTGTGCGCGCAGGGGCCCTCCGATAACCACAGGGCTCTGGTGCGGACAGACGGACGCACAGCTGAGCTCAGAGACAGGCTTGCCCCATGCTCTGTCCCTGATTCGCAGAGGGAAGTAGGAGACAGGGACTGGGGGCACACATCCATGCGAGTACAGGCTGACCAGCACCTACCTGAGAGCACCTTCCACTTCTTGGAACCTGCGGGGAGGGGGAGAGGAAGGTGAGGCGCCCTCACCTGAAGCCCTCGGGTTTCCAGTCAGGTGCTGGCCCGGGCGCCCCAGACACTGGCCTTCACCTGCAGTCTCCCATGGCGGGGTCCCCTCCGGCCGAGTGGAGGGCAGTGGAGATGAGACCCCGGGGGTGGTCGGGCCTGTCTGGGTCTCAGCTGCGCACCGCAGCCGCCACAGCAGCAACCACAGCAGCAGCGCGCACATGGCGCCTCTCCTCAGCCTTGTGTCCCCTCAGCTTCGTGCGGGCGCCCCCTGGAGGCCGGCGGGAGCGGGCGCCCCGGCCCAACCCTCCCCGCTACGCCCACCCCCGCGGACCTCCCGGTGCTCCAGGGCTCGTGTGGACCCCAAATCTGGCACCGTAAGCTCAGTCTGCCTGCTTCTCACGGCCTCCTCCTGTCCTCGCCGAGGAGAGGCTCCATGTTCTGGACCCCAACTTCCAAAAGATCTCCAATCAGTTCCAGGCTTCCACGTCCAGAGAGTGTGAGATGGAGCCACCTGGATCCTGAGCCAGACAGCGCACAGACCTGACCCCAAACCCTGGCCATGACCCTGACGTTGACCCCCAGCTTGACCATAATGGACTAAGAAGCAGGAATAGCTATCCACTTCAGAAATAACAGGTTTTCAAAACCCCTGTGAATGTAACATAGGAAGGTTACTGGGAATAAAGCCAGGAGCCGACACAATCTCCATTCAAATGGGACTCAAAGCTGTCCTCTCAGACCAGGGTCATCTTAAAGATGCGAAGACAGCAAAGTTTTCATTTAATGAAGATCCTGAATTTTCTGATGTACAATACTCACAAATGAGGAGTAACAAATGCAAACATGCATTAATAATTGGAAAATGAACTGTACGAAGTATGAATCTAGGAAAATTGGAAATTGTCAAAAGTGAAATGGAACATGTAAAGATCAATATCCTGGGCATAAGTGAGTGAGCTGTGAGAGACTGGTATTGGCCTGCAACATAATGGATGTTTGCAGTTGTTTCTCCTCATTGAGAGCCTAGCCTCATCAGCAAGTGAAGGTCCTTCCTTGGGTAAGAACTTTCCTTCTTCCATATCATGAAAAGACTCCACTGTGAGGAGTTCACTCTTCCCCAGGCACATTTTGAGTGACCTCCAACATGAGATGAGACCTTCATTTCCTAGCACTATAGTCATCCGTGTTCTTTCGCTATTCATAAGGTTTGGAAAGCCCATTATTGCAGAAGTAGACGGCCTGTCCTGATGCACAGTTTATCTTAGTCTGGAAGGTCTGCTGAAGTTTGTCCACTGTGGCTAATCTGCTGGTATTTGAAATACCTGTAGCATAGTTTCCAGCCTCACAGAAACATAAAAGCCACAAAGAACAGCCATCAAAAACTGAAAGACGAGGGGAGCTCTGGTGGCCTAGTGGCAAGAAGCTGCAACTACAATCCCAGAGGTGCACGGTTCAAATCCACCAGATGCTCTGCCGGGGAAGGAGGGGCAATCTCCTCCTGTACCAGTCAGATCTGATTTGACGGTACACACACACACACACAAAACAACTAAAAGACGAGTGGCTGTTGTTGTTGTTGATTGCCTTTGAGTCAAGCATGGCTCATAGAGACCCTATGAACAAAGGCCTGAAGCCCCTCTACAATTAGACATTTATCAAAGTTCATAGAGTTTCTGGAGGCATGTTGCTTCCCATCAATTACGCGTACGCAAGTTAAAATTTGCAGAAAACTGAAACAAATTCACAAGGGACAAAAATACTACCTTCAGTTTATCACACTTTAATTTAAAACCACCTCAAGAACAGATTTTTGCCCTAATGACTGAAGAACACAGGAGTTGTGGGGTGACATTAAGGACTTCATTAACAAAGAAATAAAGAGGTTATTAAAAAGACAGGAAAGACCAAAACTAAGAAAATTGCACAGAAAATGTCAAAAGACAGTTTAAGAAGAAAAATCAAAGATTAAAAATGTGCAAAGAATTGGAGTTAGAAAACCAAAAGAAGAACTTGCTCAGTGTTCTTTAAACGGAAAGAACTGAATAAAAAATGTCAAGCCTTGAGTTGCACTGCTGAAGGATTCTATGGGCAAAATATTGAATGACGTAGGAAACATAACAAGAAGATGGGTGAAATAACCAGTTATTGAATAAAAAAAGAATTGATCAAGACTGAAACATTTCAGGACATGGCATATGATCAAGAACCAATGTTACTAAAGGAAGAAGTCCAGGTTACACTTGAGTATTGGCAAAAAAATAAGGCCCCAGGAATTGATGGCATGTTGGGGGGGGGGGGTCAGGGATCAGATGTAGCAATGGGCAAATCATTTGAGAAACTAGATTATATGAAAAAGAATGTGGCATCAGCATTAGAGAAAAACTAATCAACAGCCTATTTTATGTGGATGATACAACCTGTTTGTAGAAAATGAGGATGACTTAACACATATACTTAAGAAGATCAAAGATGACAAGGAGGGCAACGAAGCACAAGACTTATTTGCTGAGGACTGGCAGCTTAATATCTGGGAACAGACTGCAACCCCTAACTCCCAGCTCTGCCCAAGCCCTGCACCCCCATCTCTGCCACAGCACCGTGTCCAGGGACACCACTCCACCACCATCCCACGCCCCCACACTTCTGGCACACTCGGTGGCCTCACCACAACCCTGTACCCTCTGGCGGTGCTCCAGGGCCACTAGAGACTCCTTCACACAGCACAACAACAGCCATGGAAAGTACAATTCTGAGTCAGCACACAAAGGCACACCGCGGAACTAGCCATCGTCTGAAGCCACCAGTCTAGCTGTTGTGGGACTGATCTGCCACGAGAAAGGCTGGTAGGATCCTAATTGGGTTTTCTGGGGCACCGTCGATTGTCTTGGAGAGTTCCCAAGGGTGAGCCCACTGGTGGGAATTTGCCTGAGCTCTCTGGGGGCACGTCAACTACCCAGAAATGAGCGGGCCAGTGATAATTTGGCTGAACTTTTGTGGACACTGAAAACCAGCCAGAGGCAAGTGGGTTGGTGGGAATTTGACTTTGCATTGTTGAGTCCCCTTGGACCGAGGAGCCTTCCTGGGTTGGGGCCACTGTGCAAGGGCAACTGCGTGAGCACCACTGGACAGGGACCAGTGAATGAAAACCACTGGGTGGGAGATGGACAGCTGGAATTTTAATAGGGACCCCAATTGTAAGCACACCCAAACAGATGAAGCCTGAGTGAGGTCCCCCAAGTGGTTGACCTGCCCTTGTGATTGCCGCAACCCCATTTGGCTCCACACCTGTATCTACACATCTGGGTAATCAACCTGCCTCTAATACAGAGCACCCTGACCTATCTTACCTACAAGAGGCTGCTCTCACAGGCTCTGAACTGACATTTCCCTGGAGTCAGACATTCAGAGAAAATCACAAGTGGGATAGCTACCCAACTGACCTCTAGAGCATTATCTTCAGATCAAGAACATATCAATGTCTTGAAGGAAGCAAGCTGTCCCACACAATACACAAGCACAAAGCAAGATATCACCCCCAAAGTGTGACACAGTATTGATGGATTTCCTGAAGCCAGAAAGTCTGATGGAACTTTCTGACACAGAATTTAAAAGAACAATGATTGAATATTTTCAACGGGTGAAAGACAAACTTGAAGAATTACAGGATACTACAAACAAAAACCAGGAGGAGCTAAAAAACACCAGTTCAGAACAAGGTTGTTGTTGTTGTTGTTGTTATGTGCCGTCGAGTCGTTTCCGACTCATAGCGACCCTATGCACAACAGCCCTAAACCCTGCTCTATCCTGT